GACTTTGGTTTTGCCTTCAAATCGTTGTCCAGATATGAGTTTCTTCGCGCCTTCACTCTCTGTGTCCAAAACCGTGGCGTAGACTCGGAATCCGTGTTCATTGAGTTTCAGGGCTAAGGCATTACCGAAACCACTGTCACAGCCTTTCCAACAAATATCGAAAAAAATTAATTTAATTTAATTAAAAAATATTAGATATTATTTCAATACCTGTTACTAAAACGGCTCTCTTATACGAAGTGAGGAACTCTTTATTAAGGCGTTTGCGGATCTTTTTGGTGAGACCCCAGGCCAGTGCCGACACCACAAACATACGGCCCACCCATGAGACCAGACCTCCGAAACAACAGCTCACGTTAACCGCCAAATATAACCCCAAAAACACCAAAATATATTGCGTTATAAAACATTTCAATGAAAATATTTTAGTTAAAGACATTTTCGCAGTGATCCAGAAGTCTAGACTCTACTCAACCGCAACACTCTATGAAATGTCATATAAAAGCAAATATAAGACAAATAAATATAGAATTGACTTTGATTTGGTTTGAGTGAAAATAAGGGGTATCTATATTTAACTGATAAAGTTATCTCGAGTAGAACATAAAAGCTGTATTTATGGAAAATACACTATTATATTGATGTTAATATTTTTTATAAGGCTAAACAGTCCTTAAATTGTTATTTTTATTATTAAAGGCAATATTAAATAAAATTAAGGAAATAAAATTATTAAAATAAATCTTAATATTTACAATACTAGTCATGGCAATTACTTAACTATTATTTCACACTTTATATTAATTAAATTGTCTATTAGTAAAATTGTGTTTATTAATATAAACAAGAATTTTATATTAAAATTGTATTTTAATTTGTAACAAAAAATTATAAATAAAGTATTGTGAAATGTTTATATGATATCTATTTAAAAATTTGAAAACACTTGTTTGTCCACATGGAATCTATTGTCATTAAATTAATTAGTTACAAATATAATAAAAATACAAACTCTAATAAATTATAAAACTTATTAAATATATGTTTATAGTATTGGTGATTTTGTGAATTTTTCCATTTGTATTAAATATTAGTCAAAATTTATCATTAATTTAAATAATTTGTAAAATATGATATAAATACAATATTTTAATACTATTTAACTACTACAATTACTAATACTACTAATTTGTACAATAATTTAGTATACAGTACAGTACATATTAAAATGGCATTTCATTACACAGCAATTAGATACTTTATAGTGGATTATTAGTATCAATATAAATAAAAGTATAACCAGCAATTTTCAATTTTATAGTGAGTTTGTGTTCACAAATATTATGATATTATTTCTCATTTACGAGTCGCTGAAGACCTGAGGGTTTGGGTTCTCGGGTACTCTTATGAGCGAAGATAGAGTCATAAACTTCTAATGGCATGAGTTGGGCTAAAAATATAGCGATTTTGTTGTATGCCTTTCCCGGTACGGCCACGTATCTGATTTGTGGGTCAGGACTTCTGATGGCATCAATCATTTTGTCGATTACTTCATAGATATTTTTGCCAGTCTTGGCTACAGTCAGCCTGTCCTTCCTTTGCTTGAAGTGGTCATAGTATGCCTGTCCGTACAGTTGCTTCACATCATCCGAACTCTCGTTCCACTGTTTTTCCAGTTCCCGAGTGAAGTAATCGGGTCCAGCCATCGGAGTCTTATAGGCGGTCGGCTCTATAGTCGATACTTTGATTCCCCACTTCCGGGTCTCACGTCGGAGTCCATCCGAGAAAGAGATGGCCGCGTGTTTGCTCATTGAATAGATGCCCAGATTCTCGGGCGTCAAACGCCCGGCCATTGACACCAGATTCACAATACGGCCTGAGATTACAGATTAGAAATAACATTGAATTCAATTAAAGGGAAGGCCTTTGCTTAAAGGTGAAGGGAAATCAAAATTCAATTTAATTTTAAACTCGTCTCTATAGAAAATATAAGAACACTATATATAACTAAACTTTGCAGTGATTAGGAGGTCATGAATAATGAGAATTAATTTTGTTACTAACCTTTTGATTGTCTAATCAATGGTAGGAATGTTCTGGAGACCCTAACCATACCAAATGTGTTGACTTCGAAAATACGTTTATAAGTGTCTACTGTTCCCCAATCTAGAGGTCCAAGAGTTAAGATACCGGCGTTGTTGACCACTGCCCACAACTGTTCCTCATTTTGAGTCAAATCCTTCTGAATTTGTTCGTAAACTGCTTTCACTTCTTCATCACTCGTCACATCCATTCTCATGACTTTGGTTTTGCCTTCAAATCGTTGTCCAGATATGAGTTTCTTCGCGCCTTCACTCTCTGTGTCCAAAACCGTGGCGTAGACTCGGAATCCGTGTTCATTGAGTTTCAGGGCTAAGGCATTACCG